TTAATCATTGCAAATCTACAAATATATACAATTCTGTAATTCTGTAACCTTGTAACAGTCATTATCCACATGTAGTAATTTACATTTGAAACCCTCTGCCCTGTTGCCCTGAATCAACTGTTCTCACTCATTCTTCCCCTTCCTAAATAAATTCAAACACTCCCTTTTATGGGCTCTGAATAATATTAGCTGCTCCACTTTTCAGCTTACCTTTTTATGGTAGGGGAACATACTGACACCTCAGTATCAATCAGAGCATCCTTAGTAGAACGGTTCCTTTAAATAAACTTTACCTTTGTATTTGGAAAACAAACATATTGAACATTTCCACAGGCTCTTTATAGGACAAGTTGTTTTTGCCTGGTTTGTGCCCTCCATGAACACAACATATACATCTCAGTGTTCAAACAGTGAACACAAACAGTGTTCAAAATCTCCTTGAACCGTGGCACAGTGCACCTGCGGACATATAAATATGATTGAATGTTTAAAAAAACCCTCATATCTGCAAAATATAGCTCCAATATAGCAGGCTGCCTAGGCCCCCAGCTCAAGTACAGTAACCTGTGACGGAAATAAATCATTTGCAAACCGTAACCAGGTCACGATGCGCTGAGGTTAAGAATATTTCCTGCCACAGAGTATTGGTTAATTCATCTCTCTCTGAGCTCAGCCTTTGCTCTCCACCTCCTAAAAATGAAAATACACCTTGCGCAGGTATGTGAAGTGTTAAAAAACATTAATCAACCTGGAGAGGCAGGTGGGGATCACATGATCAAAGAGCATAGCCTCTTAAAGTGCCAAAGGCCAGAGTCTGAAGTTAGCAGAGCAATGAGTGTGACGAAGCTATATGAATATAAATGCAGGCCATTTGTCTCCTTCATCCTCCAGTGAGTTATTCTGACACTAAAACACATATGGACTGTCCAAGCTCACATTTCAGACTTGTTCTTGAATCTGATGTGAAAATCAATATGTCGATACATAGACTCTTACTTGGAGATGAAAGAGAAAGTAATGTAAATGCTGTGAGTGCATACAGTTTTTTGCTGAAATGTACTTTATATATATAAATGTATGTTTTATATATAAAAATACAGTTATCAAATCATGCAAAACAATCAACAGTCGGAGCAGCAGTTGAGCCTCTGTGCTCATACAATTTGAATCCTCCTTCTCTGTATTATCCCTATCAATAAAAGTGGAAAATAATAATGCATTAATACAAAAATATTGTTTAAATAAAGACTTGCTGGCTAATGCCAGCTTAATTGTTTATCATTATAAAATATTTTAGAAACAATCAAGGCAGTCAAATAATTGACTCAAAAAACTAAGACAAAAAGTCTCATTTTAGACTTAAAACTATGTATATTACACTGATTTTTTTTTTTTTTTAACACAAGCTAAACTCCAACTATGCACCACTTCAGTGTTTGAGGTTTTCCATTACATTTGGCTCCAGTATCATCCACCCACCTGCTCTGAGCTCGACTTCCCCCGGTACTTCCACCTGTGACTTAATCGTATCAACATTTCATGCCTGATACCTTCAGGACATTTAGCCCACTGACCGTGTTTATCTTGGAAGCTAATTTAACACAAAAATACATACCAGTTTCTGTGGAAATATTTACAATGTTAGGTTCCTTGCTAAATATCTGTCTACAGCCATGACAAAGTTGTTAAAGGGGTAAAATATGATGCTATTTTGTTTATTGGGTGATATGATGCTATTTTGTTTAATGTGTAATGCTTTAATGTTCACAAAACTTCTTTTTTTTTCATATATTGTACATTATTGCAGCACCTTAATCTCATTCCAGTCTGTCTGAAACAATCTTATCACAAAAGCATTACAAAGCATCATGTGGCCTCTTTAATCTCATGACCTGTGATGATGGTGCTCTGTTATAAAGGACTGGTGACACATTACGCATCATATTGGTATTGGAAAGTCCTGGCTGTCATTGGTGACTAATGCCACGAGAACAGGTTTCAGACTAATATCATCCTGTTAATAATATCCTGACAACCTCAAGGCCTGCGGAGTGTATCAATCCACAACTGTCCATGATTTTTTAGCCAGCAGGTTTCCTTTTTCAAATGATCATTTATGAACATTTCCTTTGGACTGAGTTGCCAGAAACCAACATGAGTTTCAGTAGCATAAAGCACACGGCTGGCTGGTGTCAGGACTGAGGCTGAGGCCATGACTGTGACAACCCATATTTAAAATGTCTTCATAGGCTTTAATTGTTACATCAGATCCTTTTAAATGAAATTACACGTGCGTTTAATACACACTGTAAAGCATCTGACTGTGAATGTGACCACATATTACTGGCTACTACTTATCATGCTTGTGCATATACTGTAAAATAGCAGTACCTCATTGAATTGGATTTAACTTCAGAGCTATTATGGTAAATTAGTATTGAACTCCCATGACAGTCAGCAAATCCTTCATCACTTTTTCATCACAGCAAATCTTTCATCACACACAAACAATGTGGGAACCCAGCATGCATGCAACACAATCCTGTTTTTTTATGTTGTGTTATGAGTGAAAATGACCTACCGTGCATTGATTTTGCTGTAAATTTCTGAATATAGTATTTTATTGTAAAATATCACTGAATTATTTAAACATTATGCATCATTTTGAAATCATTCATGCAAAATAATTAATGATATTGAATTAATAATGTAGAATTAAGCATGCTATTTTTAGAATAAAATACTATAAGTAGAGAAATGTATAGTGAAATCAATGCATAATAGCTTTTTTCCCCTAATAACACAATATGGTTAAAAAAAATTACTGTAAAATAACCAGATCGTGTTGCATGGTGAAATTCCATATATATAGGGGAATACCCAAAGGCCCTTGCACTTGATTAATTCAATTTTAAAATAATGTATAAAGTGTTTCACTGTAAGTTTCAGAATATTTTATTTTAAAAATGTTTGCCCATCATTATATATTAATTGTTAATCATTGTTTTACATTTTCCGGGCTTATCACCCTATTGTAATATGTTATCAATCTACTATGTTAACTGTTTCACAGTAAAATGCAGAATTTAGTCATTTACTGTAAAACAGTAGTTGACGCATATAAAATGCTTGCAGTGTTTTACAGTACAGAGCAAGTGAAAATGAGAGATGCTAGATTCACACTTCTGTCGTCTACTGCCGCTGTGCAGCTATCCCACACAAACTGTGAGTTGGCTCTGGATATAGTTACATCTCCCACACAGAGCCTCACGCTCCAGTGCATCAGATGACCTGGCAGTTAAAAGCAATGAGAGTGAACATGTCATCACTCCCATTCTTCAGTGAGACTGCACGTTCTGACTGCGAGAGAGAGAGAGAGGGAGAGAAACGAGTGAAAAAGCCCAATACTTGTTTTATCATCTTTGGATCTCATGACATGCTCCTGCTGTTTTATTTCTTGCGTTTAAGCGTTCAGCCATAGAAGAAAACAAGCCAGCCTTGATATCATTTACTTTTCTTTCTTCTTTCTTTTTATTTTCTGCTAATTTAGATGAAGATGCATTCTTTTCTGTTGGATTCATCTGCGTAAACTCTAATCACTCTCTCATTAACATCTACTCGCATACACAAATATATAATTCACATTTATATAATGTGAGTTGATTATATTTCTCTGCGCAGCTGAAAGCTGTTGTCAGATATTCCTCTCTGGATTTCATGATTATGTGTGGTAGACGTGCCCGAGTCTCATATGCCCTTGATTCAGTCTCATTAACACACAGCAGTGAATCAACAGGGTCACACTGAGAGTGTGTGCATGTGCGTGTGTCTTTTACTTCTGTTTTAAATGAGTGAGGGCTGACAGTCTGACTTCTGTCCTGGTCAAACAGTGGCATAAATAAACATGAGAGCTATTTTAGGCCTTCTCATAAGCCCCCTGCCATTTCATTTCCATCTGTAAAAAATTCAATAAGTTCTTGAAACTAGTCCACAAATTCCATTTGTGTCAGATGAATCTGATCTGAATGTCCATACAGTGCAATTGTACAGTCCTTGTATGTAAAATATAAATTATAATACCATTCAAAAGTTTTGTCTTTCAATTAAGTCTCTTATTCTCAACAAGACTGCATTTATTTGAGCAAAAATAAACAGTAAAACTGTGAAATTTTATTACAATTTAAAATAACTGTTTTCTTTTTAAATATATTTTAAAACGTCAAATACGCATGTGATGGCAAAGCTGAAGTTTCAGCATCATTACTCCAGTCTTCAGTGTCATATGATCCTTCAGAAATAATGTGCTGATCTACTGCTCAAGAAACATATTTTTTTGTATCTTTCAAAATAGGCCGCTAAGCCACATTCAAACTTTGTCCTGTTTTCTTAGTTAAAATTTGAGTCAAATGAATGAGAAATTATTTAATTTAATTAATTTAACTACTTCCTTACATTGAAATTTGGTTTGCAATTTTACATTAAAGGGTAGTTCACCCAAAAATGAAAATTCTGTCATCATTTACTGACCCTCAAGTTGTTCCAAACTTGTATGAGTTTCTTTCTTCCGTTGAACACAAAAGAAGAATATATATATTATATATATATATATATATATATTTTTTTTTTTTCATTTGGGTGAACTAAGCGTTTAAATAGTAATTTAAAAGGCATACACAACCCTGGAGACCAAAGGGTGTCCGTTTTTATCATTTTATGATTCATAATGATGCTCACTAGCAGCCCTTTTGAGGCCCAGTGTGCTCTTTAACCAATCTTACACTCCACAGTAGACTATTACCCAACAGCCCATGCAGGAAAGTGTATACAGTCAGAGGAAGACCACTTGGGCTTTTAGGCCTAAATCTGTTTAAGCAACTGCTCTTCATTAAGAAAAACACCACAGTTTGTTTCATGGAAACCATGTTGATCTAACCATTGTAATGTGAAGCCTATACAATAATAACTAAAAACTGTATTATGTTTTTGTGCTGCTTATACAGGTATAGAGGGAATGGAGTGCTCTTTGCCCACCGATGGACGCCGTGTGCCTCTCAGCCAGCTCTCCCAGGACAGTTTTCGGGAGTGCCAGATCACCCTCACCCTCACCGATTTCTTCATCATCATCTTCTCGGGCATCTCCGTCTCGGTGGCTGCCATCATGGCCAGCTTCTTCCTGGCATCCACCGTCCACTGTTTTCAGCGCTGGAGCAAGGGCACTAAAGGGGACGAGGAGGAGAGTGAAGAATGAGGAGGGAGCCGAACGACCTTCAGTATGATTCAGAGCTGCCAGTTCTTGACAGAGTTCAAACAAACAGCGTGACTGAACAGATACCAGGTAGAACTTGAGCAGAAATAGCCTGATTGATAGTGGCTAGTACGGATGCAGTCCCCTCAGAATTAAAGGATTTTGGGTATGAAAGTAAGCCTTAGTATGCAAACAATCCAATTCTTTGAGATCCTGTCCCGCAATAGAATTCTCAGTGTTATTGTCCGTAGAGTTTCCCCTCATGTAGTCAATTATAAAGTTAACCAATTTCAGCTGTGATACTTGTTGATTGTGCCAAATTAGCACAGGTAGGCAGACAAGCACTGATAAAACGGCTATACGAAGTCATGCAATGGGAGTCTGAAATCAAACGATCCAGCTTTATACAGCCAAGTATATGTGATGGAAGCCATTTTCTTTCCATTTTGAAAGGATGGGGGAAAATAACATGAGCTTAGAGAGATTTTAGAAAGCATTACCTGAAATTGAAAGTTTAGAGTAGAGCTTAATGTGAATAGCTGTGTCAAATGCCGCACTTTAAAATGGTTCTAGTTAAGTAACACCTGCCCTCAAAGCACCAGGTATACTGGTTCAGCCCAGATCTGCCAAAGAACGCTTCGACTGAGGGACTGAGGTTAATGTGTTTTGAAATATAGATTTATTTTTCTTTAAAGAGAATCTGTAATCTTATCAAGATTACATTTATTTAGCGTAATTATGGTACTACTCACATATTTACCCTTAATGTGACTAAAGACAATATTTATGGGATAAAGATAAGTACATACTACAAATGTCATTGTATTATTCATGTCTTAAAGGTATATTTGAAAAAGGCATACAGTGGGCCTAAACAGTATTTGGATATTTAAGTCAAACTTCTATATTGCCATTGCAAGATTAAACCAAGCAAAGCACAAAAACAACAAACAAAAGATTTGTGATTGGTTTAAATAAAAAATGAATGATTCATTAAAAATGCCTTATATTATGTATTTGTATGTTAATGAATAATTAAATGAATAATTAAATTAAATGTATATAGAAGAAAAAATTGCTTTGAGACTGTTTTGTGGGAAAAAAAAGCAATTGCAGAAAAGGGTAGTATGTTCTGAGTAAGTACAGCATCCTTTCTTTGCAGAATTTGTAAGTGTGATTTAAGTGTCCAAATATGTTTTGAGGCCATTGTACATTCATGTGTCTTCAGATTGCTGTCTAGTGTCTGTCAACTAATAATAATAATAATAATAATAATAATACAGTGTATAACTAAATTTGTTGATGATGTCAATTCCATCAATACCGTCTATTTCAACAAAATGATTTTGTCAGTAGACCGTGTGGGGCAAATGATTTTCGAATGTCAGGAAAAGACATTTGATTGTTTTTGTTTTCCTTTATTATTACTTCAACATCTTGCTTCTTTCATATCCTTATATGAAAGGGCTTCATGTGTCTTAAGAATTAGTTTATTTGTGTCTTTTGCACAATTAATCACATTTATTAATATCCCAATATCTTTCACCATCCTCTGTTCCACTTTTGCTGCCCATTAGCAGATGCTCTGGATGTGCTATTTTGAGAATATATAGCTTTTTTCCAGAACTTGGGTATCACAACTTCATTTTTTGCAGTGCATGAATAATTAATTGTATCTGTGAAATGAGGCAGACAGTGTGCTAGTCTTCAAAAAAGTTGGGGATGGAAAAAGAAATAATTGCGATTCAATAGCCGTCTTATTTTAAATTAATTTTATTCCAGTCACACAACCTCAGCCATCATATCGCGTTGGATGTAAGAAAGCACGAATGCATATTAATGTAGTGTAAATGTTCCAGTGTCAGGACACGGTTGACCATATGCACAATCTTTCAAAGCTCGACTGTAGCATGGTATCATCAGCGTAAATCAAACCTGCAGCTATAATATTTGTCATATTGAATGATTTCCCCCCACATATTTACCCAAATATTTATAGCTAGCTGTATGTATTTGCAAGTGAAATGAGGTATTGTCTTTTGAAAATTCAGAATGTTATAGACGCTTCATATGCCATGACAATGGAGCTGTTTAGTCATGACGTCAGTTTGTAGGCCGACCTCGGCATGGTTTCCCATTGGAATTTCAAAGTTTTTAATAGCAGGTTCTGCTTTATGGATAAAATCAGAAAAAAAAACATAAAATAAGAGTTAAAAAAAAAAAATGTTTTGTTCTGCAACATACATCATTCATAGTCAAACCTGAAATGTGAAATTTGAAAAAGAAAATGTTTTAAAAGTTGCTATAAAAGACAACTTTAAAAGACAATCAGTTGATAGATTAAGCATCTTATTTATAATATTTACAGAGGCCATATTATGCCTTTTAACAAAGTCTTGAATTTGTTTTTGGGGTCTACTAGAATAGGTAATATTCATGCTTGACACTTTTTTTTGCAGCACCTCTCTTCCCAGTCAGTAACGCTCTGGGCTGAGTTTCCCAAAAGCATCAGCTGATCTTAGAACAATTGCCAACAATTGTCTCTAAAATCAACTTTTGGGAAACGCAGCCTTGTTTAGTTCCGGTCTCTATGAAGCCCCTCCGTCTGAAAAGCACAATGTGCTTTTATTGGTTGGTTGGACCAGTGTGTTGTGATTGGTCAACAACTTTGAGCGTGTTTTGGAAATGTCACGCTGACAATAACCATGAGTTTCAACACACTACTAGCGCTAACTAACTCAACTAGGCCTCACCCACCCCCTGCCCCCCACCCTTCTTTTGCGTATACCTAGGGTGGAAATTATTTACATAAAGAATATTATGACTTGTACATTCTCGGAAGACAACTCAAGACTACAAAATGAGGCGTTTCAGGGAGTTCAGAAACAGTGCTTACTGATATAGAGTGTCACTTTTTGGACTTTGTGCACACTGGACCTTTGTCATGCACACTAAAGAAAGTTGAAAATGTAAAAAGCATAATAGGTCCTCTTTAAAATCATAAATTGAATTGAAATTCCTGAGGGAACCCATGACTTCAAAGTTTTTAGTACTACAAACAGAACAGCAACTGATTTCACATGGATCATTTCATTTGTGCAATGACAAAATGCATCAAATCAATACTTTGACTTCATTGTCTACAATAGCAAGTAAAATATAGCGTGTTCATTGCTGTACCATCTGTCAATAATTCAGTATGTGTGTCATTTGAAAAGAGCCCAGAGCTCCCATTATTATCCTGTGTCACAACTGTCACACTGAGCGATGTAGTAAAGATGTGTGTTGCATTATAACATGGAGTATATTTGTTCCCAGTCTTAAAGGGATACTCCACCCAAAAATGAAAATTCTGTCATCATTTACTCACCCTCAAGTTGTTGCAAACCTGTGCGAGTTTCTTTCTTCTGCTGAACACAAAGGAAGATATTTTGAAGAACGATTGGAACTTTGGCACCATTGACTTCCATAGTATTTTTTTTTTCTACTATGGAAGTCAATGGTGCCAAACAACTGTTTGGTTCCAATCGTTCTTCAAAATATCTTCCTTTGTGTTCAGCAGAAGAAAGAAACTCACACAGGTTTGCAACAACTTGAGGGTGAGTAAATGATGACAGAATTTTCATTTTTGGGTGGAGTATCCCTTTAAATGAACATATACAGTATACCTAGAAAACCAACTACTATGTAGTTACATAAAGAAAGAGGTAAGAAATGAAATAAAGGTTTTTTTTCCTGCATGACCCAATGGTGACATCATTCAGTACTTTGTTTTTTTTACTCCATATGGCAGTGCACTGTTGATGAAATACATTATATTAAACAGTAAACTATTTTCGAGTGATCTTTTTTCTTCACATTGATTTTCTTCATTTTCCTTACCATTTCTTTAAATAGCAATGTACATCTCTGCGAAATAGACGTGTTTGAGTGATACTTTCCACGTAAAGTATGATTAGCCATAACTCTGTTTTTTTTTGTTTTGTTTTTTTTGGTGGTGGGGGTTGGTCATTTTAGTGACAATAAATGTGAAGGACTCAGCCGGTCATGTCCTCAATCTGTCGGGAGCACAGAAGACTTCTAAGGGACTTCAGTCTCAGTAATCAATAACAGCATATTTGGCTACATACTTTTGTAGATCTGAAGAATCATGATGAAAGCAATATATTTAGGGAAATTATAAACTCTCAAACTGTCAAAAATCCACCTGATAGGTGTTGAAATTATTATTGATTCAGAACTTGCATTAAAGAGTTAAACTCTGTCATCATTTACTCACCCTCATGTCGTTCCAAATATGCATTTCTTTCTTGTGAAGACCACAAAAGCAGATCTTTTCAAGAATGTTTATAATCTAACAGTTTTGGTGACCACTGACTGAAACAAACAATTCTCTTTTTTTTTTTTTTTTTTTACTTTCCCTTTAAACCTTAAAGAGATAATTCACTCAGAAATAATAAAAGATATAATATAATTTGCATCATTTACTCACCTTCATGTCTTTTTGAACCTGCATGCTTTTATTTTTAATGCAGAATCATCTTCATGGAGCCCTTCCATATAACAGCAGTCCATATTGACCACATCTGTCAAGCTTCAAAAAGGAAAAACAATAAATAAACTACAATAATAAAAATGCACTATGAAAGTAGCCTCTATGACTAATGTCTATTACAAGTCTGAACAGACTGAAATATGTCGTGCATGATTGGCTGAAAATAATCCCTTTTATTGTTTATTGTTGCTCTCAAATCAAATATGATGAAATCAATTGCATCAGAAGTCAAGATTGTCAATAAAAAAACAAAAAAAAAACAGATTTGAAACAACATGAAGGACATTTAAATGGTTTGGTAAACTATTCCTTTATCTATCCTGAATATGAAAACTTGACACTAATTTAGTATATGTATCCTGCAGTTCAAACCCACATTTCTTGTAAGTTTCCATGCACAAATGTATTAACGTCATTTCCAAGTTGGCGTTTGCATTCACAAATGATGCTTTTTGATATAGATTACAGCTGTGGAGAGAAGTGGCATCTAGTTGGGTCATGGGACAGGTGTTTGCCCACATTGCTGTTTTATAATAGAGCAGATGGCCAGCCCCTGATTTTGTCCACATGATTCTTTAATGACTCCAAAAAGCACCATAAAGTAATAGGTGGACAGTGACGCAAGTGTGCAAG